TATAATATAAATGCAGCCAAGAGATCTTTAAAAAACCATCTGTATCAACACAACCATGATATGGGGCCCTTCACACACTTGGGGCCCCAGGCCCGGGCATAAAGCCAGGTCTTCAAGGCCTTCCAAAAAGCCAGAAGGGTCCGGGCCACCCTAATCTCAGGAGGGAGGATGTTCCAGAGGGCAGGCGCCACAGCAGAAAAGGCACGTCTCCTGGTCCCTGCCAGCCGACATTCCTTGGCTGACGGGACCCGGAGCACACCCAACCTGCCGGACTGGATTGGACGGGTAGAAATAACTGGGAAAAGACGGTCCCTAAGGTAACCCAGTCCCAAGCCATGAAGGGCTTTATAGGTGAAGACCAGCACCTTGAATTGCACCCGGAAACACACCGGCAACCAGTGCAGCCCCCAAAGCAGTGGTGTTACATGTGCCGAGTAACTGACACTATTCACAACCCGGGCAGCTGCGTTCTGTGCCAGCTGAAGCTTCCAAATGCTCTTCAAGCGCAGCCCCATGTAGAGCATGTTGCAATAGTCCAAAATGGGAGGTCACGAGGGCGTTTTATATGCACACAGGTTTAGTTACATTGAACCTAACCTCTGTGTATATAAAATGGATTCTGGACCCTTTGCGCAATTGGGTGTTGCTTATGAGAAGAAAAAATCCAAGCTGAAAAATGTATCTTAGCATCCACTAAAATGTTATTTATTACTGGTATTCATAACTGTATGAGACTATAATATTCATTAATAAAAGAAGTTTGTACTTATACAAAAATGAACAGGTTTTAAACACAGTATATATGGAAAATCTTCATGGAATCAAAAATCATTGTTTTATCTGAATTTGCCGTTGTACTTTTGTTCTGGTGCATTTCCAGGACTTTCACACTGAGTGTCCTGAAGTCTGGTATATAATAGATTACAGTTTGCTGTCATTGTAACAGAATTGTTGGAAACGGCAGACATACTTTTCTTACTGCTGTACTTCACAAGCTACTTCACAAGCTAGCTAATAGTATAAATCGCATGTTAAAATTACTCTTTTAATCTCATTTCTCTTCTACTCTAAACACCATATAAAATTTTGGTATTGAATTTTTCTGCTCTATTAGATTGCTCCTACAGTTTTATTTATTACAAATTTTTCTATGCCGTTTCAGTTATCCAGCTCTAAGAGGCTTATAGCATAATCTACAATACATATAATACATTATAGTAGTTCAAAGGAGATCACTATTATCAGACATATCAATAATAATACTATCAACATCATTATAATAATATAATAAAACTGCAACAAAAAGTTGCATTCATTTCAACTCAGGTACACTCTCATTCTTGCCTCAGTCCCCAAATGCATCTTTAAAAAGCATTCCTTAGTCCTAGGAGTCAGGATGTGGTTCTTATATAGGGTGGGAGGGCATTCCATTGAAGGGAAGCTCCTGCAGAAAATGCTTGCTTCTGAATCCCAGGATGATGATGATGATGATGATGCATTCGATTTAAATGATAGTTTATCCTACCTCATGAGGGTTGGAGGCTTTGAACAAGTACCCTGTACAGATATGCCTTCGGTGGGCAGGTTCTGTTTGGAGCAGACCATCTCAAAGAGAGTCAAGTCCCAAACTATGTAGGACTTTAAAGGTGATCACCAGAATCTTTATTTTATGTATTTACAGTATTTACCTATTTTTACAGTAATGACCCTGGCTGGTGTACAATATTAAACAGTTTGTTTTTAAAGAGGAACATTAAAAAAATGAAAGAGCCATAAAGCACACAATTTGGCCACAGGTTTTGCTGCTCATATGTCCACGATGTAATCCTAATATGGGCTTTTACTCATGCTCATTCATATTCACTGTTTGTCTTCCTCCAATGTCACTTTAGGGGTCTCTTCTGGTGTTTCATCTCTCAGAGTCCTCAGAAAACAAACCCACGGCAAGAGGCCACATAGAGAAATTAAGGCTCTTGTTACATGCCTGTTCCTGTCAAGCTGCGCACCAGATCCTGGGGAAAAAACCAAGCTCCTTTTGGAATCCATCAAGGTTCCTTAATTCCCTAGGGCATACTGTTCTAATAGGAACTACCTCCCTATAGGGGAAGGAGCATCAGCAAACCAAAAAGCAATCAGAAAGTCATCAGATCATGGCAAAGGATTAATGGTAGTGTCTTCCACTACCAGATCATGTCACAACTACCTTGAGACAAAAAACAGATCTAACATATATCAGGCCTTCACTGACTTGAGTAAGGTCTATGGTGGCCATGAACTCTTGACTGCCCCAGGCTCTGTGCCACCTGGGAGCAAATAGAAGCCATGGGGATTCTACTGGCACCCCAGAATCTAGTTGTTCAGGGAAGTTGCTGACCAGCAGGGAGGTTAGCACAGCAACAACAAACTCAACTACTCTCTAAAGCCCAATTTCAGTCCTATATCCAGATCTTCAGAGCAGAGCATCTGAAAGCCATCAGGGCTCCCAGGGCTCCCAAATTGC